GCTCTTAAAAAATGTAATAGTTCCATCATTGTCACTTGGATGGTTTTGGAACATTCAATCAATTCGTAACTGTTCGATGAAATGCCTCACAGCACAAGCATCAACCATCTCACTACAGTTCTATCATCTGAGCCTCCATTGAAAAGGGTTCCCAATAAAAGGCCCTTCTGGACTACAAAACAGTTCTCTACAGGGTCACCCAATTCTATCAACAAACACTTCTCTCTATTCTTGAATCCTACAAAATTATCTTTGAATTTCGAAAGTAGTTGTATCCACACTAGCGTTACTAAATCTGGGTTCCGATCTTATCAATCCACTGTGTTCTCTCTGATAGCAAACTGTGTTGCCTATGCAGTGAAATTCCTAGGTGGGGTTTTGATCTGGTATTTGCAAATTTAATTATTGCAGGTTGTATGAGGACATGAGAGTTTATAATGCAGAGTATTTTCCCATTGTATCTTTTGTATAGATCCTACAAACCCAATAACCGTTATTTAAACAAAGGTAGAGACTTACATCGATGGGTATCCTCCAAACATTTGCAAAAGTCCAACATATATTTTACATTGATCAGCCAAACACGTGAATGTAAATACTGGTTTCTGTTTTACACTCAAAAGTCAATCAATGTAAAACTCCTCGGTGTAAATTTAGATTTACACCACAACCAAACATAGCCCTACTGTTTGAAAAATCCCTTAGGCTGCATTTGGTTTGAAAGAAAAGGCAACCTACATTTTCCTTCTTTTCCCTACCTTTTCTTTCAAACCAAACACAACCCTAAAGTATTCCTAACTTTTCTAACAATTGATATCATCTTTATACATTGACAGAAATAATAAAATATCAAATTTTCCCTCTATTATTCTTCAAATTTTTAAAATAAAATCCAACAAAACAAAATTTCCAACAACGATAACATCTGTTACAAAATTTAGAAAATAAAATTCTATCCTTAAACAAAACATCAAATTCAGAAAACCTGTAACTAAAGAACACTTTGATTTCATAAACATTTCGCAAATGAAGAGCTTCTACCAGCTTCAAGGTTTTAAAATAAAATGCAACAGAACGAAACTTTCAACAACAGTAAGATTAGATACAAAATTTAGAAAATAAAGTTCTATTAAAAAACAAACATATTTTTCCAACTATAAACATTAAATTCAGAAAACCTGTAACTAAAGAACTTTTTGATTTCATAAACATTCACAACAGGAGAAGAGCTTCTACCAACGCTACTTGGTCTGTCAACCACTTGTGCTTGCCACGTGGGTAGAACAGATTCAAGATAATGTACAAATCAAGTTGCATTCAAATTATTGTAGATCTATTGTAAAAGAAATTAACTTATATTTGTACTACAAATATTCAAACAAAACAGTTTCAAGATAACACACAAATCGAACTGCTTTCAAACTCATTTCTAAATAGTGAAGATTCAGTCCACTTAAGGCATATGTTGAAGAAGATGGGCTTTTTCCTACTAGCCTGCAACGCTATATTGCTGGAAAGCTTCCCGGGATTCACTATCACGATTCACGAGCTTAGGTTATGTTTGGTTTGAAGGAAATGAAGGGAAGGGAAAGGAAGGGAAGGGAAGGGAAAGGAAAGGAAGGGAAGAGAAAAAATTTCCCCATCCATTGTTTGGTTAACCAATGGAAAAGGTAAGGAAAATTAATTTTCCCTTGTTTGGTGAGGCAAGGAAAACATATGGAAAATTAATTATCATGGGTCTTACAACTATTATAAATGAAAGATATGTTCATAATTAGCCATTTCTTCAACTAATATTAATTCCAAAAGGACAAGAAAATGCATATCAATATTTATGTAGAAGTATATCAAAATTGTCATGCCTAGTCAATCAAACAAAATGCCCATAAAACATAGTTCAAACCATTAAAAAAAATTTACCAAAATTATCATGTCAAACTATAAAGTAAAAGGTTGGTAAGCTCATAGGCCCATATCAATTATGGAATACTAACATCAAAACGGGTCTCCTAGCTTCATGACCAACCAATCCTTCCTCAGTTCTAGCATAATCACATAAAATGTCAAGGCATGAAACCAGTCCTCCAATAAAAAATCAAATGCCTTCAACAAAAATGATGTAGATATTCCCTCCAAGCTCATAACATCTCGGAAGAGAGTATCTCTATCGAACAAGTCATATCCACATTCAACAGCCTTTGTGAGTTTTCCCAAGTTTTCTGCAATCTCTCCAAGTTTTTCTTCAATTTCCAATTTCCTTTTCCATTTTCCTTTTGATGACGATGGTGGATCTATTGCTCCTGCTCGTACTGAAGAATCTCCAATTTCATCACCAATGTCATTTGAGGGTGTGGAAACTTGACCATCAGTACCATGAGTCATAGAAGCTGAAGTTGCTTCACGTCTGTTCAATTCCTTTGCAGTAAAAGCTCCACTCCGATAACTTGATCATTTTCACAAACAAGTGTCAAATCATCGTAGTTATCAATTTTTTTCCTACGATATTGTCTCGCCTCCGGATGAGACTATGAAAAAAGAAGTCGATTCATCACATTAGACAATGATAACAAAAGAAACATAATCCAAGCATTATATAAAATCACATACCTCAACATAAGAATTCCAGACTTCAGGTTCAGCATCTATTGTATGTGTTTGATCATTCCAACTAAAGTCACTTTGATTAAGAATAGCTTTTAATGTGGCAAATTTTGTTTTTTATAATCTTTAAGCAATTCTTAATATGACCAATACTACACTCAACTCCAAATTTAGAACCAATTGCCCTACTTGCAGATTTATAGGCAGGGCTCTTGAAACTCTTATCAACTTTGTTCCCAATATGTACTTGTTGGACAAGTACCTCAATAAGATAATTGTCCATTTCTAGGGTCCAGGTCATGTTAGGCTTCTGACTTCTTGATTCCTGTCCTTCCATATCTAAGACATAATAAGCACATAATAAACATGTAATAAACCTAATATAATAGAAATTATATCAAAAAAATTCAACACAAAACAATGATTTTCTAATAAATGCAAACAAAGATAATGTGACAATAATCATTGTTTACATAACATCATTTTCAAATCAAAAAAATCACAAAAATCAAATCAATGCCTTCTTCGAGAGTATTGTAATTGGTAATCTTCCTACATTTTTGTTATTATTTCTTCTCTTAAGCGAGTTCCTTGTCTCACTACCTCATTCCTACTTAAACGATGTAAAGGTCTTCTTATTTGTCTCTCATCATCTTCTTCCTTAAGTTCAAAACCATCTTCATTACCTTCCTCTAATCTTCTATTTCCTACTTCTTGATCATATTGCCTCATAATAAAATCATATGGATTCACACCCATCACATGGTTGTGTATACAACAAGTTTAAGATTTTTCAGTTTACCAATTTGTTACATGTATAAAGGGTAGAAGTTCAAAATTGTAGTCATGAAGTTAGAAGCCTAGAACAATGGCACTTAATGACACCACAACCTAATTATATTTGCTTTTCCTGTAGACACAATAATGTGACAAATATTAAGATGGGAAGAACACAGCTCTTCCACTTGTCAATGAGCACAGCGAATAATGTGACAAATATTCAATATAACTTTTTTAAAATATACCCAATTTTCTTGGTATATCTACCACTTGCCAATGACCAACCTGAGCCCTCATCAGGAACAACAAGAAGAACACAACTCTCTTGTTCGCTGGATTGTCTTACATGTGTTGTATCTTGATTATTTTGACTGCTTCCTTTCTAGCATGAATATCTTTCTCCATTTGGAATAAGGTGAATAAGCTTTCACAGATCGGATGAAATAGATTGACTTCATACGCTATTCACCATTATTTCTTCAGAGCAGAAGTTCCCTATTGAAGTTGAAGTGAGGCTCTCGATTTTTTTCCCTCTTTTTTACTTTCATTTTCGAGGGAAGTGGTTTCCGACCAAAATGGAAGAATCCCGTTTTTTCATTTTCATGATTTTAAATCCTCCCATTTTCCAAATCTTCCCTTCCTTTCCTTCAAACCAAACATAGCCTTAATGGTCCGCTCACGTTGATGGCAATGCCTGATGCTATTGTTAAAGACGAAGTAGAAGAGAAATAGTCTAATTACCCCTTTCTATTGTGTTTCTTGATGAATTTTCTTCTGGTTTTTCCCAATTTTTGATTGAGAACCCCTTTTTGTATTCAAGAAAATATATATTAATCAAAAACTTCAAACGGCACACTCAACTTCTGTGTACTCGATTCTCTCAACGTGCCTGTATAACCCATTTACATCACGGAACACCTACTACCCAGAAATGCTATCTCAAGTTCCTGGAGGATGGTGAAGTGGTTCAGATGAGGCTATTGCAGCTGGACAGGTGGATTAACCAAGTATCATTTGTTCCTAGTAACAACACAAATAGCCATGTGGAATTTGTCTTCTGTGAGTCTCCCCCCAAACCAGCTGAATCCAGAACCTACTAGGAACACCAAAACTAAAAGTAAGAACAAACTATCTGTGGGTAATCTAAGAGATTTACCTATATAAAATTGTTTTAATTTAACCAAATTCAAATACAGATTTTGTAAAACGACAACCTGCGTGCTACTTAATTGTACAATTGGATCCATAGAGTAATATTGCAACTTGAATTTGTCCCAAATTCCCAAACAATCTAAATCAATCCTGATACATTCACATCCAGAAACTTTGTGAATTGCCAACCCTGATCTACTCTATAATTTTTTTTAATATTATTAAAAAGACCCACTGACCAAACTGGCTATATTTCTCAACCTCTACAGCCAGATAAGTTCAAGTTGTACCCAAGACGATTATACTTTCAACGTGACGCCAAATTGCCAATAGGCGTGGTGCGTGGACTCCAAGCACAGCCGATCCGGACTGGAACTCTGGAAGCCCAGAAAGCACTACTTGTATTCAAGTCAAATTGCCCCAGAAAAAAAAAATAATAATAATAATAGTACATGCACAAACTACTATGCATTTGGCACTAAACTTTTCTAAAGGGCCGCGGAGCACATCCATAGGTGTAGTAGTTAATAAACCGAACGAGTAATTGAAAATAAATTCTTTACGGATAAATGAATATGGTACACCATGAGGTTCTTTCTGTTGCTTTCTAGTATGATGTTCGCAAAAGGACCTATATCTAGAATTGTCTCACTCTGGCACGGATATGCACCACTTCCACTAGCCAAAAATGTAAAAGAGCCATCTTCCTTGCTCAAATCACCCATTAATGCAAGCTCCCATTAGCTGCCTAGCGTTCTGTAGATGATAGAAAAAAAAGGGAAAAAATAAGTTTTACTAAGCATCTGTAAACACGATCAAACCAACCCATGAGAAGTATAAAGCAAAGGGGATTTGACATTATCCCAAGAAAATAAATTCTGATAGCATACCTTAGTCCTAGCCAATAATTTACATCCCAGCTCTTGGCATTTTTTCCCTTTTTCTCTTCCAATCTTCATCATCATCACAAAACAGGGCTCCATAAGAACAGTGTCGAGCAGTGAAAACTGCCAAAGGTGGGCTTCTCCATCAAAGATGTAAGAAGCATCAAAAGAAACCGAGAGTGATGAAGCACAATCAAAAGAAGCTTGAAAGGTTCGAGTGTATGCTCCAGTCAACCTCAGGTTCTTATGCCTGCACTGCTGCCAGTTTACAGAAAACATGTCAGAGTAATTTTCTCGCTTCATAATCTTAGTATTTCTCTGGCAGAGCACAGGCATCGCCCAGGCCCCTCAACGGGGCCGGGCTAATCCATAACTCGCTTCAGGTTGCTGTTGATGAGGCTGCAAAAAATAGAACCAATGAAACTGTTAAAGAGAAAGTAGTATGCTTTTAAAATAAATAATAATAATAATAAATAGAAGTTAGAAATTTCTATTGGCCAATATTGTAGGTAACACGCCTAATGATGCCTTGGGGGGGGGGGGNGGGGGGGGGATCTTCCTTGTCTTATCCCATACTTTAATGTTCAGATGGGCAAAGCCTATGTGCACACATTTACTCGTACAAAGTTGTCAAAGTGTCAACTAAATTAGTCAATTGAGGACCGGGCTGATCACCAACTAACCAGTCAATAGATGCAGTCACATAGGACAACTGAGCATCACCTACATCAACTAGTGGATTAATTACAAAACTTTATTTGTCTGTTTTTATCCCACTAGGCCACTATCTCTAGTTATTGGGAACAATATAGAATATTTGTGTTTTGTTATATTCTGCTTTAAATATCTGTGATGGAACATGATTGTTTCTTTTAAATTCATTCAAATCAGCGGTGTGCTGGTACATAGTTGCTATAAACAAAGGGCACATAATCAAGCCTGCATTTTTTATTGCAAAGCAAAAGCAGTAATTTCTTATCCTAAATTATCCAGCCTATTTTTTTGTCACAAAACAAAAACCTAACAGCACCCAATACCATTCATTCATCTATTGCATGGTTGTGATTTATATTAACCTATTTATGAGATTGCATTGATATCTTAAACTTAGAATATATCTTTTTCTCATCAACTTCCCAATGCCTAGACACTGGCTAGTCATCAAATTGACTAGATAACACAAAATGACTAGTCATAGCTTCACCAAATTGATAGCACTGTTTCACTTTTACAATTCTACTGTTGTGCACTAAGATTGGACCAACCATAACAAACCTTTGAAAAGCCATAGAGGACAAAATTAAAGTTCAAAATTCTCAAACAAAATAAAGGCTGCATTTGCTTGCATCTAAAATGAATGAAAATAATGATTTCTTGAAAAATAATAATCAATGAGAAAACAAAAGAGTATTCCTAATTTCCTTGTCTTTTACTTTACATGGAAAACCAACTTAATGGTTGAGAAACATACACGTATTGCGAATCAAGGAAACCAACCTCAGTTTTAAAAATTGTCATGTGGTAAAGAACAATATTTCCTTAAAATTAGGACCCACTTTTTGGAAAATGTTCATTTTCTACAGCTATTTTATGTGCAATGAAACACCATAAAACAGCAATTTCAGGAAACTCTTTACAATTTTTCATCTTAGTTGCAACCAAACAGAGCTAAAATATAAACATAAAAAAATGCCAGACGGCCAATAAACAAACCACCTCTTAGGAGATACCATAGTTGCCAAGACATAACCTAGGCAGGAAGGCACCTTATTATAACATCGTTATTATGGCTACATCATACTGAAATGTGTGATTATACATTCTATTATATGCTATAGCCTAGACAGGCAGGCACTTTATAATTTGTAATAAAAATTTACTATTGAAATTTAAAAGATCCAAGAAAAGAAAAAAGAAAGAAAGAAGAGAAGCATAGAGAGTTTCTCTCTCTTGTTCACACACAGATTAAATAAAATAGTGTCTCTATCCTAGCCTAGAAACCTTTGTTTATTTTTCTTGTAAGGCTTGGAAAATAGGAGGGGGAAAAACCATATACTAGTGTCCTTACCTGTGCAAAAGGTTGGTGGGCATGCTCATGAGGATGGACAAACGGCACTCCAGGGCGTGGAACCGGATACTGAGAGGAATGCAGATAAATGGCAGAAGTGGTATGTGCACCAACAGGACTGGGATTGAATGGGGACATTATGGTCTCCGGTGGACCATAGTTGATTCCAGCAGGGGTAGATGTAGCAGCCCATGGCCCACGTAGGTGTTGAGGAATTGGATGAGGTTGGTGGTCCACAGAAATTTGAGGCCTATGTGCTGATCCAAGCTGTGGGAATTCAGTATTGTAGTTCAAAGCAGGAGAGTACATAGGTTGCATGGCATATGGTCCTCCATTGAATCCAAACCCAGGATCAAATCTTTGCAAATACCTGCACAAGCACGTTAGCTATATTCTTAATCTATCTAAAAACAGAAAATAATGTCGTTTGATTATTAAGCATTGCCTCTGGTGTTTCAGAAATGCATTATATTTTTTCCCTCAGAAAAGCATGGTATTTGATGGTTCAAAACAGGTTAAGCATCATGGAACGAATACAAAAGTCAGAATGACATTGGCAACACTCTCACCAATTAGGTAGGAAGCCACCATCCAATAAGTCTCAGAAACAAGATCAGAGGGACTACCTTGCTGTTCAGAAAATACAGTCAACAGTCCACTAAACAACAGGGGATAAGCCACATAATGTTTGATCAAACCACTAAACAAGTGATAGGACCAATAACTTTGTGGATACAACCTCCAAAGCAGGTTACCCCCTAGATGGAAGAAAACAATGACAGCTTCCTTCCCATCTCCTGTAATGGTAATGCATACTAGTCATTGTTGATGACATTTAGGTGGTCTTTGGCATGACCATTCCGTCGCATGAATTTGCCATACCAGCATGTTAGAGAAAACAGGAAAAGAGGTGTAGATGCTAATGTCTGTTTGGACTCACAGCACTGCAATGCCCATTTCATGTTGAGGGTGTCAGAGGAAACACCTTTTCCATGTTCTGAAAATTTGAAGGGAGGAGCATTACAGCAAAACTCCCTCTAATGTTGCACATTGAAAAGTGGAGCACCAGAACACTTTTAATTAGTTGTCACATCCTAATTGCAGCACTTTAAAAGCAATGCTAATAATCAACAAATTATACAACTCTTGGGTTCTTTTTTTTTGATGAATACAACTCTTGGGTTCTTTGCCCTATAGACATAGTGGAAAACATGAAAAGGCACACTAGACAACGACATGTCTTATAATGGGCCCACATTTTCTGTAGGTGAAGAAAATCAAGAGTTGCATAAACTTGTTTACTAGTATTTGTCATTTTTAAATAAAAGAATCATGACACCTTAAACAAAATATCAGTTTTGTCTTTACTAACAGCTTTATACTAGAAAGACTGCCACAACATTTATGATGTTGCATTGCTGATGAGGCAAAACAACAATGCCAAAAATGGCAGATATCCCAGGTCTTGGGAGGTGTGCACTGGATATGGACCTAACCTTTGGCATTTTTTCAGTGTCCACTCTTGTACTCAATCTCATTTTCTGACACTTGTTAGCCCAAGATTTTTACCACAAACCAAGTAATGGCCCATATGAAAGATTGAACAAAATAAAATACAAGTTACTTGAAGAGTATTGGGCTTGGAGATACCTTTCGTAGCTTCTGTCATAGTCAGGATCCTTACGATCAACCTCACGATCACGAAAAATAGCAACCCTATTGTTTGTCTTGTGCCTACCAACAGGCTCCTTCTCTGTCCTACTTCTACCTGATCTATTGCTACTTGTAGTAGAATCAACAGAATTCCTTCCAAGATTCACTTCAGAGCCTTCAACAGATTTGTCCTCCACCCTTGAAGACCTAAAAGTGCAGTGGTGGAGAGTATCTTGCACTGTGAGTTCACTTTCTGGTTTTCCAATGGCACCAACACTACTACCGCTATTACTAGAGCTAAATATCCGTGCACGGGCCCTGTTATATTCCTCTTTTCTTTCCTCCACACTTTTTGAATGATTTGCCTTAGAGGTATGTGGATTTACATTGTTGAGAGTTTGAGACCTTTTCTGCGGTCTCTGTTTAATTGCAACCTTAACAACACTATTACTGTCATCCTGTGGAAGGTTTACAGGAATATCTGCTAGACGAATTAGAGGGAGCCGGCACTCAGAAGTCTTGCGAACAACAATTCTGGAACCAGACCCATCAGGTAAATTGTTGTCTAATATGACCATTGATTGTAGACAATAATGCTGCGCAACACGATGTGCCGCCAAGCGCAAATAGGAAGTAGGCAGCTGTTGAAATTCCAGTTGCTGTCGTGTTGGGTCACAGATGAACTTCTCAACATCTTGTTCCATCCGCAGAACTAGACAAATGAGAGAAATATCATGAATTCTTTATTTGTCATGAGAAAGTGAAGCAAATACAACAACCAAGACAACACGGTGACAACTCCTTAAAATTGATTTTAGAAAAAGTTTATTGGCCCTGGGCCAGGTAGCAATAGCTCATACCAAGAAAAATTAAACTATATAATCTCAGAATACTAGATGCAGAATATTCAAGTACAACTTTTACGATAACTAACAAAAATGAAACGGGGTCTCCTGAAAGGAAGAAAAAAAACCCTGCAACACTCAGACCACAGACATCCAACTACAAATTGGGAACATCTCCCCATGAATTTAATCTCTCAGAGGTTTTGGCAAGATGAGCAATATTTGATATCCATGCTATTATAATTGCCGTGGACTAACAAATCATGACTTTTGTGCAGAAAAATGTGGTCTTGCTTGCTATTTAAGTACCATATAATTTAACTTTCATGCTGGCCACTTTCTCTAAATGTTATTTCATTTCTAAACCGTTAATTCATTTTTCCTTTTATGTTTATATTCTCTTTAAAGCCATTTGAGCATGTTGCCATATTATAACATATGAAACTGATCTTGCCTTTAGTTAAAATGCTTTTGAGTTCCTACAATACCCAACTCATTTAATCTTAACACAAACACTCTTCAGAAGCTTAAGACAAATTTTCTGGAGGAAAACCTACTCCCAATGTAAAATATAATCAAATATGCTTGAGGAACCAAAAATAGATAATGTATATATATATATATATATATGAAACCAAACAACTGCTTTTTTCTTTTGCAAAAATAGATTTTCATCCACTGACATGGACACTGAAATACAATTTAAATCAAAGATAGGTATTATTTTGTTCAGTTCCTCAAGATGATCCCTACTCAATCACAAGCCAATCATTACCAACTCAGCTATCAAATTGACAATAAATGGTGCCAAGCATAGTACTACAATTTAATCCTTCATACTGGGGATGTGATGGGAGAAGCTCAGCAGCTAAATTCTAGCCATATATAATAAGAAAATGGCAACTGATTTGGATTTTTTTTATCAAGAGGGTTCATCAATAACTGATCAAGAAAGGGTTGAACAATAAGCTGAGGATATATAGTCATTATAGACATTGTAGAACTAGATATGAAACTTCTACATTCGGATTTAGGTACTTGTAAGTTTTTTGTTTCCATCCAACCATAAAAACTTCAACAATTGGTTTTTATACCAGATTAACATGGCAGGTATAGAACCTTGTACATCTTTTTTCTTTCCCATCATAATAACTGCAATGACTAGTTTTTATACTGGGTTGGTAATGCAGCTGTAGAGCCTTGACCTGTACCATCAAAGCTGTAGAACAATGATACCTAGCAAAAAGTTGCCCCAACCCAACCAACCCAGAAAAGATTGGGTTGGGTCAGGTTGGGTCATGGGTCAACCCGCTGACCCAATTGTCAGGTCTAATTTGGACTATTTATGTATTGTTAGAAGCTTTCATTCTTTAATCTTGTAGTCTTTACTTTTTATTGTTTACTCTTTGAGTTTTTGAATTTTCAAGTTTTTTTTTTATTTTATGTTTCAAATTTTAAGGTTAATTCCTTTAATTTTGACTTTTTTCATGTACTTTTTCTTTATTTTTTGAAATTCCAGTTATTTTAGGGTTGACCCAAATTGACCTGTGGGTCAACCCTAACCCAAACATTTTAGGGTTAGGGTCTAGCATTTGCTGACCCAACCGAAAATTCAACCTACCCCTAAATCAACTCGAAGTGTCTTGACCCACCCAACCCAATTGCCAGGTCTACATGATAGGGTCTAGCATCCTGCTTAAGAGGGCAAAGTAGGTTCAGCATTTTCAACCTGTCATTGATGCAGCCAGTCAGACTGGTGACCAGGCCACAATCCCAATTTTAGTCAACCTCTAACCTGCTATGTTACAAAAAAATCTGTTGACTTGGTCAACAAGTCATCAACCTGAACGGTTGAACCATTGACCCATCTGACCCATTCAACAGGTTACTAGTTTTTTTATATTAATCACATCACAGGTTGACCCATCAACTTGGAAGGAAAACAGTTCAGCTTTTGGGCCAGGTTTTAAAGCATTGAATAGGTTATCTATTGGACCTTCTACCTTGATCATTGATATAATGTGTTTTTTTATAAATAATTGAAATTCATAAGTTAAAAAAAAAAAAAAACAAATCAAAGAGTACAAGAGCCACCACCAAGTTGCCCAATCAGGCAACAAGACACCGAAACAGAAACAGAAAAAAGATAATCCAAAATAAATTACAAATTAATTCCCAGCCCATGACAACCCAAAACAAGTTGATCTCTGGCAGCTCCAGCTCTAGCTAAAGAATCTCCCAAGGCATTGGCACTCCTAGGAACCCAGTTGAATTTGTATTGAGAATCTACAATAAGGAATTTCGCCCCTCTGAACAAGGATAAAAGATTTCAATGCAGCAAATCTTTTACATGGCCCTACAATAATAAGTTTGGAGCCCAACCTTTACTGTTTATCCCCCAAAGAGAAGCTCCAATCCAACAGCCTGGCCTTAAAAGCACAACCTTAAGTATCCTCCTAATGAGAATTCCATCACAGTTTCACTAAACCATTCAGTTTTGAATAGTAACCTGGTTATTTGCTTTACAATCTTTACTATTCAGTTTTGAATAGTAAGAGCGGCATTTTTCTGAAAGGTATGGAGGCCAGCATGGCAAAAGGTTAAAAGCCAATAATGCAAAGTAGAACCAGAAAAGGAAAAGGAGTACTTAATTTAAAAAAGAGTATTTTAAAACCATCTCTAGAAGCATATTGTATAAAGGAATATAATCTCAATTATCAGGTTTGCATCACAATGTAAATTATTTTACATTTTAATTAACAAAAGAAATCAAATGTAATTAACTTTAGTAGAACCTTCTAAAGTATTCAGTCTCAAAAATTGATAATTTATGAACATTTTTATTAGAACTTGTACTAATAAGGATGCATTGAACTAGAACCTTGACATATCTAGGGAAGAGATTATATGGATAGAGACAGAGAGCAAAGAGATCATGCAGAAAGCATACATACACAAAGCACACAACAAGAGAGGGGGAAGAGGGGGGTCAGTCCAAGAAATGATTTTATTTAGATATCCACATACAGGTCAAACAACATTTGGATATTCTTTATGTATCTTTCTTATCCCATGATTCCCGTCTCTTCTTCCTCCTTATTATAGCCATTCATTCTAATTCAGCCTCCTAACCTCCAATATTCTCACACTTTCAAACCAAAGCATATATTTCTTTTAATTCTTTATGGATTTTGTTTTGATTCCTCTTGAAACTGAAATTAAACCTCATAACTCCAGAATTCTGTAGAATTTAAAACCCTGTTCTTGTTCCTCCCAAGTCCAAATAACTGATTAACTTATCTGTTTTTAATAGTTCAAGTTCTATGCAAAAGCCGCATTCCAAGTCCCAATATTTTTTTCGGGCACACTTCCCCACGATAAGAATAAATTCAAAATAGTTAGTCCTGAGAATCCTTCCCCAAATAATAGCATGGCCCTATGTCGATGTCCGAAAGTTAACAGTCCTTGCAATAGCAATTAACTAACACCCAATGAAGTCTCTAGGAAATATTCATAATTCCTTACTTGAGAATTCACATAATATTACAATGGTCCTAACTTCTAAATACACCTACTACATCACCCACCCCATCACCTGAAATGCAAGCTCAGAAAATAGTTATTTTAGGAACATACAATTCTATTAATCTAAGAAGCTAGGAACCATATATATAAACAGAGTACTACATCATATAAATCCCAAACCTTATCTACAACAAGTGACAGACAAAGTCAAATGGATTCATAAACAACAACTGGAGCTTAACCCTGGACACGCGAGAATAGGCAGGAGACTTACTCGATAGCCGCTCGCGAGGGTTCTGCAGAGCTTCTCTAAGAAACTGATCAACCTGATTTATTGGATCCTCGGAAACCCCTCGAATCTTCTCAGAACCAACGGACGAAGACGAAGCAGAAGCAGAAGACGACGAGACAGCAGAAGAAGCAGTAGAAGCAGGACGAGGAGCTGCAGCAGAATCATCGGCGAACTCCGGCGGTGATGCCGTCGTCAAATTCTTCTTGCAGGAGACCATTAACCTGCTCATGCTTTCGTCCAAATCCACCATTTCCCATGAATCAGGGGCCCCGAGATCCTCCACAGAGCCCTCCATGGCCGGAAAATTCTAGGGTTTGGGAATGGAAAGGATCATGAAATCAGGGCTAGCTCTGGCAGAAAAACCCTAATTGCAGAGAATTTCATGAGAGATGGAGACGATGATAACGAGACTAGGGTTTGGAGCAACAACGAATTCGCAGAATTAGGGTACAGAAGAACGACGCGAACGAAGGACGATATGATACGATAGATTTCTTTTTTCTTTTTTCTTTTTTCGTACCCTATTTACGGTTTCTTTTGTGTATTCCTGTTATTAATTTAGAACAGTTTAGATCTGTTCCCAACTCCCCTCCCAACACTGTCCTAAGAAACCATTGCAGTCGCAGTCGCAGTCGCAGTCGCAGTCGCAGTCGCACATCGGAGCTTCTCCCCAATCCCATGAATGACAAAGAAAATGATCTCGATATACGGCTGAAATGACTTGTTGGCACAGTGCTGAAAGTATGTTGTTGGTATCTACAGATTCCCAATTTCCCGCTTTCTATGCTTTCTATCGTACGAGTGTATCTACACATGTAAGGAGATAGATGAACGAAGTAAATTCAACAAAGAAAAATAAATGTAATGGTGGTCTAGACATGAGGCTAAGTAAAAACAGATTAATGAAACCATGGATAATATACAAGAAATTATAAAAATTACCAAAATATAACAAAAAGTTGGGCATATATCTAATATTATGCATCAAAATAAAAAATTAAGAATTAGTTGTTCAATCATTTTGGTCAAATAGATCGACAAGTGATATTATAAATAAATTAAAAATATATAAAAGTATAAATGAAATAAAAATAATATAAAATAGAATAACAATGTCATAAATACATAAAATTTATACAAAATAGATAAAATATAAAAATACAAAATACGTGTCAAAATTGGGCAGTTATCTAATACATATTCATTATATTAAGAAGAAACAATTTGTGATATTGTAAATACACATATATATTGTTATATATATAKAGAGAGAGAGAGAGAAAATATATAGAATATATATGTATATATTGTAAATAAAAATATATATAATAGATAAAATATACAAAAAAATTATATATATTCATTAGAAAGAAATAAACCATTTGGGTCAAATGGGTCCCTTTGTGAAATGTCATAATTAAAATATAAGTCATATAAAATTAATAAAATAGACAAAAGTATTAAAAAAAAAAAATTGGGCATGCCTCTAATATTATATATTCTTTACATTAAGAAGAAAAAATGGATTTCTAGTCAATGGTTCAACTATCTAAGTCAAATGGGGTAAATGGTAACATCGTAAATAAAAATACAGTCATTTAAGAAAACAGCATACAAGTATGGGAAATGTATAGAAAATATAAAATAACATTATGTGAAATTGTGAATATAGAAAAAATGTACAAAAATTAGAAAAACAGAAAAAATATGTATAATTCTTATCTATATAAAATTTATAAAATAGATGCAGGTATGTAAAATACATAGAGCTTTTTCACAATTTACAAGCATATGCTTACCACACAGGTTATTTGCTAGTTATAAGACATTAAGAAATAGTGAAGGAAATGTATTTTCATTGAAAAGGAAAAAAGGATATCTATTATAATCTCTGTCTATGTACATATAGTTATAAGATTTGGGACTGTGTGTTGTTTCGTGTTCCACATTCCCACTTATTATGGACTTAGTTGTGTGGCACGATTTTATTTTCATTACATGCAATAGGGTTGTGTACACAATTGTATAAACCGACCAACCAACCCAATTAAACCGAACTGATTCGACCCGAGATGGTCAAATTTTTGAAAGAAGTCAGTCGGTCTCAGTTAGAAAAATGTCAAAACCTGACTATTCGGTTTGAAATCTTACACTCTATCAAATTGTGTTTGTGAAGGTTCTCTTGACATTACTGCCAGCCACGTGTATGTCTATAAATGGAGGTTATAATATGATTGCATTAAAAGTTGCAAAAGTTGATTTTGGTTCTGTTTAAATCAAATCAATTAAACCGAAGTCAATTTTAATAACATATGTAGCTCAGTTTTTGCATATGACTGATCGGCTTTGATGATTGGCCTTAGGATCAACCCAAAAGTTTTGGTTTAATTGGCAAAATTAAATAAAATCAAATTGAACCGACCCGTGAACAGCTCTAACATGCAAGAGGAGAAAAATAAGCATAGTAAAGTGCCAACTGGCTGGTTGGTAACGTCTCTTGCTACTTGTAGCAGTCTTAGTGGAGACTTGTGATCAAATCCTACTTCATACACCAGGGTCATCTTTAGTCTTATCCTAGTGGCTAAATTTATTGACATGTGGCAGATTGAATTTGCTTGTAATTTATTACCATCTTTGGTCTAATCAATTGTAAAATTCGAGCTTGGATTTCCTAAACGCAAAAAAGTGCACAATCACGCTAAGAGCATGATATCCAACCATACATTGAAAACATTCCTCCATGAATATGGAAAATGTTCCCAATGTACAACTAGATGAATAAATCCTATCTCATAAAATTTGGGTTTAATTTAAAAATTTTGGCATGCATAAATTGTTGTCGAATTTGGGTTTTGATCCTTCAATCCAGTGGTCCTGATTAGCCATGTTTCCATTGCTTCAGCCATGTAAATAATGGATGATTCATGAACATGGTACTCCTCTCTCTCTCTCTATCTGTTGTTTAAATATTTTATTAATTTAGCCAACAAGTTTAGACATTTAAAAATAAAGTCAAAAAAATTCAAAATCTATATCTCTTTTCATCTTTTTGTTTTTACCTTTTTTATCTTTAATTGCACAATGCATGCCACTTGCCCTTACATTATTCAATTTATTCATAAGGTGTATTTTAAGACAAAAACACACCCATGTTTTGACTTGTGTGTGTAATAATGGGTGTGTTAAAAGCTTAACATCCGGTTTGAGGGGGTTGACTTGGATATAGGTATAGCCAAGCTTCTTGGTAAGATTTTTCTCTTTTTTTTTCTTTTTATTTTTTTTTTTTTGCAATATAAATAACATAGTTTGTGAATTGGTAAATTGGGCTTATGTTAGAAAATAATAGGCATAATTTTAAAATAAACTGCACCCGTATACACCCAAAATAAATAAATAAAATGAAAGTGAGAGGTGCTCTCTTCTCCTCTCATTCTTCTCCCACCTCTCCTATTCTTCCCCCTTCCCCCTTTTTCTTGAATTCTATTTAATCACTTCACCTTCTTATCAGTTGTGTTTTTCATTGCGCCCAAGCTTGCAACTGTCATTGAATCTTTTTCCATTTTTTGCAATCATTAATACCATGGCTGAGTTTGGGACTTGGGAGAATGATCCATGAATACTACATTAACTTTTGTTCTGTCAAATGGTCCATAAAAGGAATGCTACTTTTTTTTTTCTCTAACCCATCAAGTCAATAAAGATTTGTCCTTTTCATTTGGGCCCATGCACTTTGGGTTTGTCAACAACCAAACTTATATTTAAAAATGTAGATTTTACAAATATGTGATGTATTTTTTCTGTTTATTCTTCACATTTTTTACAAGATGACACTATATTCATACCTTTTCCTCTCAAATGGAGCTTTGGCAATTGGCTCTTGACTTTCATTATTTACTATAAGAATAATTTTTTCTTAGGGTAATACTTTATTTCCACATTTGTTTTATATTTTTAATCAACCAAAATTTTTGTTTGTATGTTGTTAATGTAACCATTAGTTAATTTCCCTTGATACTTGCTCTCCACCACATTTTGTCCTTTTTCTAGATATTGGGTTTATCATTAGTTTGCTTATAATATCTTGTGCTGACAATATCCTTTCTCTTTGTTGTATGCATAGGAGTAGACGTCTATCCATTACACAACAATCAGTTCAAAAGAATATTTGTCTTCTCCATTTCCCACATTCCATCTTATCCTTTTTTGAATTGAGTCTCTTGCTTTAAGTATGCCTTTTCATTCTCATGATATTCCTCTTTACCATCATTTTGAATTAAGTGAATTAGATTCTAAGTACTTCCTCTCTCTAAGGGGGTGTTTGACAACATAATTGATATTGTTTTTGAAAATAAAAACAATTGCCACATCAATAAAATTAATAAATTGGCAGGGTTAAAGGGTTGGAAGATGTATGTGAAGCATAGGATTTGGCAAGTGATAATTGGAATTGGCATGGATAGGTTCCAACTCATTAAAGCTTATATAAGATTTAAAGTGTTAATATGTGTCATATTGATTTTTGGCATAGGTGATATGTAAAATACTATAAATTAGGGAGTACATAGATTTTTTAAGATTGATGTTCACTAGGGAGTACCAATTTTTGGAATAGGCAATATATGGAACACCAAGAAGCAGGGAGTATTAATTTTTGGAATCAGGTGATACTAGAAATTGCAAAATCTTTTAAATCAAGTTCAAGGCAGTGTACCTTGATACAAGTCATTCATTAATCTACTTAGAATTACAGTCTTAAACAAGAAAGAAGGGGTATATGACCATGTAAACATATGAGATAGAACAAAAGCTTGTTTATCCAACTTGTGGGTTACCTGGTTACCCACTTTAGAGACCCATCGAACTAAGCAATGAGGGAATTGTAGATCTGATCTGCCAAGGATGATTTGTATTGACCTCTTATAGACATAACATAGTTGTATCATAATCACCTTCAAGAATAAATGGAATAAGCACCAACTTCAAAAGCCAAGATGAGACCTGTAAGTGCTACTATAACCTTAACTTCTTTAGGGGTGCCCAATTAGACTTGAAGAGCACAACCATAATAGAATATGCAACTATGGTCTCTAATTATCACACCTACTCCTTCCCCTTCAAGGCAGAAAGAGCACTACCAAAATTTACCTCACAACCTATGGTGTTAGCTTCTACCACCCTCTAGGAATTGAGCACTACAAGAAAAAACGTCGACTTAGGTCTAAGGCAGCGGTCTTGTGTCTGCCCCCAAAGAAGCTGCCGCCTTAGACCAGGACCGCCGACTTAGGTTAAAATGACCACCGCCTATGATGGCTGGCCAAAGGCAGTTCAAATTGCTCTAAAGTGGTGGTCTATTGGAGCCGCCGGGTTAGTGTTAATAAGGCGGCGGTTTTGACCACCAGCTTAGGTCCTAAAAGACCGCCACCTTAGCTTTTCTAAACATCCCTACCATCTTTAGGAGGCGGTTCAAACCGCCGGCTTACATATTTATGACATTATTTATGGCAAAGCCGGACCGCTGGCTTAAATTTTTTTATACTTCTATATCCCGTTTATTCCGACAACTTTTTTTTTTGCACTAGCACTTATACTAATTCATCACTTTAATACCTGCTTAGTGAAAATCTCATGACAATTGATACATAAAAAAAAAACTTAAATAAAAATGGTATTTAAAACAAAATTAATGTATTAAATTAAAAAAACTAATTATTATTATTTCCAAAACAATTATTCAAATACAATATCCAATTGGCATAAAAAATACAAAGGCTTCAAGAAATTCAATTTGTCAAATAATATAACACATCTTCCTTTCTTTCCACTTCTATCATAATTTAAGATATCTAATAATCTTTGTGCTTTATTTTCTTGATTGATTGTAGCAGACATCCAAGCTCTGCTCAGCTTTAAATACAACACTGCATAAATTATCCAAGCTCTACTCAGCAGACATCCAAGCCCTGGTATTGTTATATAGCAATGGTATCCATCTATGGCTGCAAGCAGACAAACAAATAATAAAAAGCAAAGACAAATACTATTGACAAACAAAAGAAAATGATTAACTGATATATGTTGCTTATTAACGTACTGATGGATTCAGCATCCAAGAAATGCTACAAAACATAGGAAGGATTAAGATAGTGAAAAAAGAACCAACAAACAATATCAACAATACAAACACCATTACAAGGGGGGAGGGAATAGCCATTCCCTCAAATGGGGGAATGCCATTCTACCAGGAATAGGAATGGGATTCCAATACTGCCAAACCAAATGGTTGGAACCAGAATGGGCCACTCCAATTCCGATTCCAAACCTCCACTCCCATGAACAAGAAAAAAAAACTCTTTTTATGACTCAGAAGCTGAAAAGAATAATCTACTTAAACCCAGTTTTAGGATGCCTTTTCCTTTGATAAAACACATTAAATGGTTCATCCAGATCAAGGACTGACGTTGGGTTAAGTGTAGTTATCTATGCTTGGTCTCACACCAAAGTTAGGAAAAGAGAAACTTGAATCCCATAGTACTCATGGCTGTATTTTTTGATATTGGGTTCCTCGCAATTAACAACCCATATCAGATTGGTTAAAATTTTACCTGGTATGCAGCCGACTGTGAAATCTGCATGTTAGAAGCTCCTGATGAGCATGCATGGTGGCACCAAAATTTTCTTTCTTCTTTATAAGCCAAGAGTCTGGTGATGATATCAAACCTTGTCATCTATGAAGTTAGACACAACAGAAGTTGCTGTGTCATTTGACAAATGAACGGGTTGAAGATCCAAAGGACCAAAGGGGGTCTACTTACAATTATGTCAAAAAGTTTAGGGGAAGTGATTGCAATTACCAAACTCCAAAGGAGGTTTTAGCAATAACCAAAAACTTCAAGGGAGGTTTCAGCAATTTACCCAAATTAAAATGGAGTAAAGATTGAAGTGGTTGAACCAAATTATTTATTATTTTGTATTTTGATGAATAAAATATTTGAATTTGTCCTACTCAACCCAACTTCAGCTTTATCCATCAAGSAACTCACAACCTCCTTAATTGATAACTTATTAACTAAAAGAGAATGTATTAAGCCATTTAATAGAAACTACAGAGTTGTGACATCCAACAAAATCTGATTCCATATTTGAAAACTTATGAGCTATATGCCTTGTTGCCTCAGTGGATGTGGAATAGCTTGTTGCCACAGTGACTCTCTAGACAGGTTAACACCTAAAATTGTTGAACAGCTTGAGCGTGTAGGTTCTGTAGTTCAAGTTGCTGCTGGACCAAGCTACTCCTTAGCTATAACCGGTGATGGAACAGTACACTCCTATGGGTCTGGCTCCAATTTCTGCCTTGGCCGTGGAGAACAACATAATGAGCTCCAATCACGTGTAATCCAATCATTCAAGAGGAAGAGAATTCATGTGATCCGTGTCTCAGCAGGAGATGAGCATGTGGTGGCACTTGATTCCAGTGGATATGTTGGTCTCTTTACTTAAAGGAAACTAAATACTTTTATTGAATTTATAGTATCATGATATATTTATAACTTGGTTGTAACTATCATGATCACAGAATAAATTGGTGTTTGCAGGTATACACATGGGGCAAAGGATACTGTGGGCGGGTAGGTGTACATCAGACAACATAAATCAAGATCCCACACATGCATGGAAGCTGAGCACAGCAGACAATGTTAAAGGGTGGATGGATTAAAGGAAAACGGCGGCGGGTAGGTGTACAATATCAGGGGCTATTTAAAATCAATGGATTGGAGTTTGGAGAGAACAGATTAGCTGAACTTAATAGCTATATTTCCGTGTGTGGTACCATTCATAATACCCCACACTAGCCATAAAGTGCACATGGCCCTGAACTTTGGCTGGCGTGGAGCATTATGATTGATCCCACAGCCCAAAACACATATCAAGTTTCAGCTAATATGCTCGCCGAATTGGATGATGAAGATTGTACACTCGAGAGAATATTTCTGATTGAGGAGACACTTCAAACAAAAAGAAAGAAAGAAAGAAAAGAATCAAATTTTATTGGACCATTAGACCTTTGAGCACCCAAGAGAAACGTCTGATATTCTTTCTTGTGTTATCTTACCTGGAGAACCCAATGAGCGCAACTCAAGAACCTTGCAATTTCCAATGCAAATACATAATGAGCTGTTAATGGTTCAACAATCTGCAGAGTCAAAGAAATATCAAGTTTCAGAGTTAAGTATGAAGAAAAATAATAATTCATCGAACTTAAGAAATCAATGATTTATCTTTCTGCCTTCATGTATTACCTTCGTGTTCTGCATGACATGCAGCTGTGGTAATACTGAAACAGCTTCCATATATACACAAAAGGCCCAAGCAATCCTGTTAAAATGATGATGTGTTGTTGATGGATGAACAAGTAGATCTAATAGAGAACAAGATACCACCTACATTCACGTTGGAAAAAAATGTTAATAATGAGAAACAATAAATCCATAGAAACAACATTAAGATCAAAACAACAACAATGATGATGATGAGATGTATTTATTACAGAAGTAATGCTTATACAATTGAATTCTATTATTTTGTGTTTTGAAGACAACCATTTTTCCTCACAAGTGCCAACATCCCTAATAAAAATGGCTAAACACAATAACAACAGATATATTCCATCTTTTTCTAAAATTTGGCCAAGTCAACCAATATGTTTAGGCAAAACTTGGTTAATCACATTACAGATCATATGCATATCCACAACTATGTGTGTATGAAGAAAGGTCCCTAATTAGGCAAGTGGAGAAATTCCCACCCATTTCTGTCACATGGAAGAATCCTATGGCCAATTTAAACCATTCATTGGGTAATGGACCCTCTAGGCTAGTTGCATTCTGTTGAGGGCCCGGGAATAGGATCTCGTCACGGGTCGGTCCACGGGGAAAACCTCCTGTTTTCCCTTGTTCCTTCCTGCTCGTGATGAACCAATCTTGGCGCCTTCGGTGATTTGTCCAAGAGATCACCAACTCTCCTAACTCACTCTTGACTGAATAATTTGATATCTCATTCAATAATGGKGTCTCCTTAAATAGGAGATTACAAGAGTCCTAATCAAAGGGAGTCTCCTTGCTGAATAGGGAGACTTCCAGTTCTATCTTGCTAAGGATAAGATAAGCTACTAACAAGATAAGATAAGCTAAGTTAATCCTAATCTGATAAGCTATTAACAAGATAAGATAAGAGATAAGAACAATAAGATAAGAACAAGCAAAATGAGCTAATCTAATCTAGATAAGGTTGTTGTTGCCGAACTGGGTAGGATGAGCACCACTGAATCCTTGCTGCTGCTGGCGGTGGACCCGGGGCCTGTTGCTGCCGGCGGCGATGGTACGTCTTCCCGAGGAAGGCGTCCATAACATTACTCCCCTCCTAGACTACGAGCTTGTCCTCAAGCTCGAAAGMTGGATATGTGGCTTGGAACTYTGCCAATGGGATCCATGTGGCTTCTGTTGGTGGTAGATCACACCATTCCACCAAGACTTCAAGGATTCCACGATTGAAACGAGAGCGGGTGACAATTTTAGGATAGGGGACCAGTTTGCCATCTTTCAAGGGTGGCAGGGAGGGAACTTGGTCCGGGGGAACACCCGTAAATGGTTTCAGCAAGGAGATGTGGAAGACATCATGAATTCAGCTAGTCTCTGGCAATTCTTCTCGCCTAGACAAGGCATCAGCTGCGCGATTAGAGAATCCCGCCTTATATTCCACCCGGAAGTCAAACCCGAGCAGTTTGCKAACCCAATGCTGCTGAGGGGAAGTGGTGAGACGCTACTCTAACAGGTATTTGAGGTTGTAATGATCAGTTTTGACGATGAACGACCACCCCCACAAATACAGCCTCCAGTGCTGGATGGCTCGGGCAAGGCCGATTAGTTCGCGCTCATAGGCTGGAAGCTTCAAATGCCGGTC